TTCCAATTATAGTCTATATCTCGGTCTATATACATATGTTTTTTAATTTGATCAATAAACCTTGGAAAATTGCTACATTACTGCGAAGCTACTCAGATTTACTGTTCTGCCCGTGTTTTTTTTTTTGTCAGAAGAGCAGAACGATGGGCGAGCGTCTAGAATAAGCTTCTTAAAAAGTTTCTAAATGAAGCTTCCATAGGAAACATCTTAAGAATATTATTATAGAATCTTCTTTTGGAAGCTAATTCTAGACGCTTGCCCGTCGCTTCGCACATCTACCTTAAATACACGGGCAGGACAGTAAATCTAAGTAGATAAGCAGTGGAGCAATTTTTCAAGGTTTATGGATCGAAATTTTAAAAAATAGTGTCCTAAACATGAATAATATACGTCTAATTTATGGATCATGCCTATATTTTTAAGTGTGCAAACTTGATTTTTTACGGATCACTTTCTTTAGTTTAAGGTTCATTACTGAATGTTTTATGGATCAATTGCAATATGTTTATGGGTAATTCGTACAATTCCAATGCTCATTATTTAGAAATTTAGTGGTACATTTTTACAATTGTGTTGCTAAATTTCACATAAAATATTGATAATATTGATATTTTTTATGGATTATCCACACTTTTTTAGGGATTTTCTCCGATGTTTTATGGATCATTTAGATGTTTTTAATGGAACGTTTTTCAATATTTTATGGATCGTTTTATCAATTCTAAAGGTGCAAACTTAGGGCTGCCCTGGTAAACACCGGAGCCGAGTGTTTTCGATTTCGGAAAACACGCTTGCTGCTTGTAGGAATTTTCTTTGGCCGACTTATGAAAGATTATCGTCTTAAACCAACTAGCTCTTATGTAGGGTAAATGTTGGCTTCGGCACCCATTGACTGTTTTCGGCAACCAAAATTTAAACGTTAATTTCACTATGTTTTCCCATCAACGCACTTCCCTGAATGTGTCCAAACGATTGTTTAGCCTTTCAGCTTCAATCTGATTATATTTGAACGATCGAGCAATCCAGTAATGCTACATTTTTCTTCAAATAAAGCATACGCACTACAAAATGAGGTTGATTTCGAGTTGCCGATAATAGAACAGCTGGTTAACACGCAGTTCTAATGGGAAGGTTGCCGAAGAAAAAGAGACTGCCGACAATAGTCACACTCACCTGAGAAGTTTGGAGCGTTGTAAAAACGCTTTCAAAACGTTTTGAAAAATTCTGTCGATTGGAATGGATAGAGAAGCAAGCAGCAGATGAATGTAAACAAACAGACACATCATATATGTGCGTGACGCTGAGAAAATGCTAGAAGTGCAGACGCTGCTTAGAAGTGCAGACGCTGCTTAGATTGACGAGAATAAGTAAATTCCCCTATATAGCTTCAGCATCATCCGTTTTTCAAGCGTTGATAGACGAGTGATAAGAGAATTGCCCAAGTAACAATTCAAGCTGAATTGTAAGAACAGAAGCTAATTATTAGTTGATTTATGGGGTGTTTACACTTATGCTATTTCACTAGCGCTAATGAGCTAGCTGCTAGCATAAAAGCTCACTAGAATAATGTAAACAGGGCATCAGCGTCTACCAGCATGAAGTTTCAGTAGCAACTTCAATTCGTGCTAGTTGGCGAGTACACTAGCGCGAGTAAATCCGCACAGATGTAAACACCCCATTAAGGTTTGCAAAGCTGATTAATACCAGGCTGAATATATAGTTGATTAGTGGTGCATTAAGCGAATTGTATCGTCATAATTCAACCTCATTAAGTTAGCTGAACTTAAGACTGAACAAGACTAATTTAAGCTTAAGACTACTCCACAAATCAGCAATGAGCCACAAATATGTTGATAGCCTCATAGAAGAATATGAATCTATTGCAAAATATTGTTAAATGTCGTCAGTGCCACCTGTTGCATTTCCGGCATTTTAGTTCTTCTAAATTCACTGCCTACCTTTCTAATCCCATACAGCACCAGCAGTAGAGACAAGGAAGAGGAGCTTTTTGTAATATCTTCAGACCGAAGTGGAGTGCGGCGACGTATTCCTCCCAAGTAACAATTTGGGTTTTATGAGGGTTCTGTAGACCATGATTTAGACTTGTAGAGTGCTTCAAAACCTTAATAAAACTTGCAATGTTGCTTAGGTTGGGTTTTGACTTGGTTATATACACTCACTACACTGAATTTTCAGATCACATTCCAAAAATATAATCCAATTTGCTTGTATGTATAGAGGTTGAGTAAATGTTGCCTCATATCGTAAAACGTTTGAATACAGCTTGAAGCTGTATAAATGAAATGAGTAAAGCGTTTACATTGTGAAAATCGTTAGTTGGGTAGGAACTAAAGATCATCATTCCAAGATAATGGACGTCGAAATGTCGTAGAACACATCAGAAATGATATAGAGGAAAAGTTGGCTTCGGCAATACCTTAACCTATTATCGTCAGGGGGTAAACAACGTCCTTGAGAGCTCAATTTTGGCATGTGGATAAATTGTGTTTCAGAGCAACTATTGGCAAAATTTGAGTGCTCTAGGACTTTGTTTACCCCCCTGACGATAATAGGTTACGGTAATGCGAAGGCAACTTTTCCCCTAGGTGATTTTTGGGAGACTAGCAGTGATGCAGAGAAGGACAACGAGTTCACAAATGAACACAAAAAATAGACAGAAGGGCGAAAGTTGGTGAGATCGTTTTAAATTTTAAATGTTTATTACTGCTCATATATAAACACAAAACCATGCTGGGTTTGGGAAGGACCATCAAGGCACCCAATTAAAGCGATTTGGATGAGGAGAGTTGAAATGCCAACTCCCTGTTGATAACATTTCGTGGATAAATGGCGGGCTCTTCTCTCCACTCATTGGGGCATCTTCCTGTTCGGGGGCTCGTCTTTCTGATCAATTGTGCGATCATGTTGCTGGAAGGAGATTCTTTACTTTCCCGTAGATGCGTATAGGCGACTTTGTCTATCGATCTACCCAATTCGTTTTTGGCCCTTCATACAGCGACATGCTGAAGACAATCAGAGGTTATTAAGCTTGATCAAGGCAAACAGAGAAGAGAGCCCACTGCTACCGGACTTAGTTTACCTGTTACAATGGGTGGTAGCCCACTATCATGTATCATGCAAAAATTGTAAAATATATGAAGTCAGTTACCTACGAACTAAATTCCAGTCAATTCCGCTCAAAGATCGAAATTCAGTCGTAAAATGGCAGAGATACGAGCAAAAAGCATTTACATATTTTAAAGGGTGACCCCAAACTTATGATCGGAAGTGTACGCCTGTGCGCAGAGCAATAGTTCTAAATTAATATAATAACAACTTTTTTCAGAGGTCTAATCGATTTGCAGTCTTAGACAAAGTTGTTTTGCACAGTATTCCCAATCTATTACCGAGATTTGGTGAAATTTAAGCAATATTTAAATTATTGGCAAACAAATGAATAGGTAAGTTTCGTTTCCCGTACATTTCCCCATACATAATTTAAAATTCGCCCGCAAATCCAGATCATAACCAAATTCATCAAATTTGACACCGTTGTTGGGGAAGTTTAACAGTGTGGAACAGGGGGTTGTGAATGTGATCCACCATAGTGCTCAATACTAGAGACACTTAGACCGACATTAGGGACATTAACCCTATTGCATGCAAAATACTACATTCAAAGCACCTCCTTTAATTAGTATTCTTTACTTGTAATTGCAAGTCATTCATTTGATTGCACTTTCAAACAAACGAAACCTTCCTAGCTCCCCGAAATCTTTAATTTGCATTGAAATTGAACATTTGGGGCTAGGTAAAACATTGCCTCTGTTGTAAATGAACCGCTCTTCCACCAGGAGGAGGTGGAGTTAGAGGTTTCTCAATAGCCAAAAAGTGGTTCAATTACTGGGCCACTTTCGGGCAAATAAAGCAGACCATTTATAATCACCGGCGGCGGTGTAGCGTAAGAGGAAAATTGGTTTGCGGAAAGTTTATGCTACCGGACATTGCCTGCCGACCCATCGTCGTCCGTGGGTACTTCCACTTTTCTTACGGATACGAACAAGGGTGATAATCCAATATTCCGCTTACGGGATGGCCAGAGAGAGAGAAGAAGAGGGGATGCTCATCCCGAGCCGCGCCTGCAAGACGATAAACTCCAGCTAGAGCACAAAGGGAAATGGAAAGAAAATTTTAAACAGTCATCGAACCGTGATGATTACAAGCAAATTACATTTCCTAGCGCGCCGGACGCACGTTCCGGATAGACACTTTTCGGTGGGAGTTTTAATTTACTTTGCGTAAATGGCCCTTGATTTGGTTTGCAATGTAAGTGTGTTTTGAGTTCATAAAGTGAAATTCTAGAAAAAATCATTTCAAAGCGTAATTCGACTGCGAATCAATGCCATCAGAAAGATTTTAACTCTCAAAACACTTGAATAGAGCATTCGAACGTCGCCCGTACACATTATTCAGTGGAAATTATTACCTGCAATATTTTACTTTGCATCGCTTTTTATTACGACCCAACGATGAGAAGAAATTGCACTCCGCACTCTGCAAAACACACACACACACATTCTCTCTCAAGTAAGTTACCCGCTGGGTAACAGGATTTAGCATTTCACTCGTTGTAGGTATTTTTTGAATTTTTAAAAGCATTGCACACCTCCTAACACAGGAACGAACGGTGCTGGAAATTATTTACGACCAAAATGCAAAATAAATAACTCACCTTACTGGTCGGTTTCTCCCGTGTTTGTGCACGACGAGTGCGAAGCTCCCTGAAGAGGGAGAAAGCTTGTATAACGATGAGCTTTTGCCTCTGGGTAGGAAAAGAAACGATTTTATTTGGAATGTTTTAATATTCATGATTCTTAAATCAGAATAAATAGAAAAGGGGTTAGGAGCTTCTCAAGGCTTCAATGCAATATTTAGAACCATCATAAGTTTGAATGTACTGCATATATTTATATTCCATGGAACAAAGAAGAGTTTATACTTTAGTGTTTTCCCCATCCGAATACTCCAGCGATGAATTTGATAAATTTATCAACTTCAATTCCATGATCGCGCAGCTTTTGGAAATATCCTTGAACTTCCCCGGAATTCTGAAAATATGGTCAAAAGTTCAATTATTATTTTCTACCCAATGAATCATAGTGCTCTTACGTTATACAATTCAACCAATTCATGGAAGTCAGCATGGTGCAATTTTTCGTAGAAAGCCTTGAATTCCGGACTGGTTTGCAGTTTTTCTTCAAACAGGGCCCTTAGTTCCTGTACGGGAAGCAGTGCTAGAGCCTCATCCAAAAAGTTGCTGATTCCTCTAGTTTTCACTAAAAAATTCAAGTTCGATTACCGGAAATTCTCAACCAAACAGGCCTACTCACAACTCCGAACAGCTTGCACTGGATAAACGTGATTCTTCTCAAGAAAGTCCGCCAAAAAATTCAACGCCTTGTAAACATTCAAACCAGCAGCCTGAAGATAGTTCAGCACATGCTTTACCTCGTTAAGAGCGAAGAACTGATCCCAAACGGCGGAGAATTCCTCACCCTTTAGGTAAATAAAGGCGTCCTCGAATTCCTGATCGGTGGTGAAATAGTGGAATGCTAGCTCGGCAAGTTCATCCTGCGGAAGCAGTTTGACAAAATCGTGCAAGTCTTCCTTAAGAGTGCTGGTGCCTGATGGAATAGAGGCCGCAGCAGTGAATGCTACTAGGGTAACTAGGACCAAGGTTATCTTCATGGTTGATTAGTTGGTGGAAGTGGTACTTGAACTGCTGCTAACGGCTAGAGGTATTTATAGCTTATTTTGAGACGTCTCGTTGAACTGACGTTCAATCGACTGTTATCAAATGTACTCTAGTACTTAGGTGGGATTTACAACAATCACTTTAATTATCTGCTGTTTGATTATATAATACGTGCTTGAAATAATGTCATCAATTATAATTGCCTTCTTTTTTATGTGTTGTATTACTTTCCTACTACAAGTGAAGCCTACAGCATTTCCACAGTTATTAATTGGATAAACATACAACTATATGGCAACAAATATCTAAACATCCCATAAAACACCACTTTTCAAACTCAAAATCGACCCCAAAATAAAGCTAATTCAAATGCAAACAACATCGCTAAATTCCTTCAATTCATGTCAACTGCAAATTGCAAAAATAAACATTCCAAAAGCAGAAAACTGCTTCATCGCCACCGTCTCCACGTGGATGTATGTGCATAGTTTTTTCGGCCAGGGTCATAGAATTCCTTTATTTCTTTTTTTTCCACCCACCGATGATGATCGCTAAAAAAGTGCTTCGGAAAACAACTAACCTCGCGTGATGACTCGTAAAAGTCTATAGGCGCGCGCGCTTGAATATTGCCCTTTCATATGCTGCCGAATAGTGCCGTACCCTTTGGAACCCAATGAAAACAGAATAGGGTTAAGATCTAATTTCCGTCATATTAACCACAACCCAACAAGCAATTTTAGTTGCAGTATACAGGCAAAAATTAGCTGCATAAGGTAAATTTTGTCTGTATAAGCTTATCTGCAGCTAAGATTGATAGTTGGGAATCCATTCTTTATCACTATTGTTCGAACAGTTCGAATCGAATGGAATGTTTCTATAAAAAGCGACTTCTTAATTTACTTACCTTTCCGTACGTACCGTTAGATTTGATAAATAATCACAAATTGTTGAGATATTATTAAACATCTAACACTGCTTCTTGATTCTAATTCCATCATACGAGTTTCAATTCCATACAAACAAATTGAGAGGTCATTGGATTCACTTTGGCATACGGATGAAGGTAGAAAACATAAGGAAAGCTTCTTTTATTTCTGAGAAGAATGGATGTACATATTCATATTATACGTTCTTATTGATTTTGTTTTGTAGCTTTTGAACTAAACTATCGTATCTATCTAAAGTAGGATTAATTCATTCACGTCGCAATCATTGATATATTTGACGTAAATGGGTGCTTATGCCGAAGTAGTTCTCTACCCTACTTCACGCAAATATAGAAAGCCACCGCGTGTGAAATTGGGCGAAAAATTTGGCTTCCAACGTTTGGCAAGATTTAGTGCACTGCGTTTAGTCCGCTTCGAAAACATTCAATAAATTGGATTAGCAATATTCGATGTGAATGGTTGAAATAACTGTCGGAAACAAATTGGTCGAACACAAATATTGCATGTTGGCTGGTTGGTCGGGAGAGTTTGATTTTTATTTCGGTTGTTGTGTAGGCCATCAAAGGAAATCAAATTTATTGGGAATAAAACATTGCAAAATGAGAAGGTGCGAGAGTTTCTTGCTTGAGCAACACGAGCCAGTTAGTTGAACGGAAAATAAAAATATTATAACATATCGAGCGCAAGTAGACTTGCTGATGCATGCCAAGAATGAAGATAATTGCCCAGGATTTCTGGAACTTCTATCTTGAGCGTAGATAGACGAGGGGGGACGGGGAGAATTTTGAAAACTTTCAATAAGCAGAAAAAAATTGAGTTCCATGAGTATTTTTTTTTTAACTTTATGATAGAGATTTTTAGCCGTAGGCTAGTTCAACTCTAGTTCCATGAGTAGTAAATTATCCTAGTTACGGAATTTATACAATTTTATGAAAGTTTGTCAAAGAGATTTAAAATAGGGCTTATATTTCATTTTCAGTCTACTAAGCACAACCCACCTTCTATTCTGCTTCTTTTTTTCGACCGCATTTTTTTCACAAAACGCAATGTTTTTACTGCAGATGGCTTCTAAACTTACTTAACTTTCCGTACGCACCATAAGATTTGATAAAGAGTATCCAATTGTAAATATATTGTTTAAAAAGTAACATTGCTTCTTCACCCTAAACTCGGCCTAACGTATTGAAACGCCATTGAATTCACTTCGGCCTATCGGATGAAGATAAAAATTGATTCGGTTGAAGCGGTTGTTTGTAGACCAGAAATGCTACTGGAATAAATAATTCAAGGGTGAATTTTGTACTGAGAAATCGGCGTCAAATTTAAATCTGTTCAAAATTGACGGATGGACACAGCGTCGATGTGAAAGTCACCAAAAAGAGATGTCGGTGGAAAAGTAATGTGACTTGTCATTTGACGGACGAACCCCTTCGTCAACGCTGATGGTGAACGCAGTATTGTGGGTCCTGCTTTAATCTCCAATTTTTAAAAATCTACATAATGTAAAGTAGGCTTGCTTCCACTCACTTGCTATAACAAAATGATTTTCGTTATTTTGGAATCATTAGATGTTATAATGATAGTTTGTACTTGTAAGATACAAGAAGAGGTTGAAAGGCAAGTGTTTGACACATAAAACCTGTCAAAATCGCTTTCAGATAGTCACAATCCAAGGGGTAAGTCACTCAGCACATTGTGCTGAAATTAGATTCGGCACAGCTTAGGCACATCCATCGGCTTTCCTTCGGTACAATCTCGTATGCATTGGATTGTTGCAAAGAAAATGGGAGCACTGCTGGACAACTGTAATTGAAGTTGTTCACAACATTACGTGCTCTTTGATTGTATATTCAGGAACATCCTCTAATTGAATATACCAGAGGAACTCAGATCAGCAGTTCACTTATAGATCTAAATACGAAATGTCCAGAGAACTTTGAGATTTGGGCGTAATTGCTTTTGTAAACAAACACGTCAATCGCCAATTGCTCGTGAAGAGAAGCTCAATCTTGCAAACAAACTATAGAAAAAGAAAAAGGATTCATTCCTCTACCTATTTGTGTTATTAGTTTTCGAGATTGAGTTTTAACTAGCGAGAAATCGGTAATTGACGTGTTTGTTTACAAAAGCAATTACGCCCTAATCTCGAAGTTCTCCGGATGTACACGGATAGAAATCTCCTTATACGTTTTGGCAAATTGCTATTGCTGATTATTCATAAAATGTATAAGTCAACTAATAAGCAGACGCCTTGCAAAAAGTTAATGAGGCTCATGTGTCAAATGAAATGTATAAGCGGTCACACATACCTTTTATGCATTCTCATAGGACCTATGTGGTTTGTCTTATGGAATGTATAAGGCTGATGGTTTGACAAAAATATATAAGTGAAACACATGAATAAAATAATTGATTTTCGTTTCGTGTAGGTTCTAGAGTGGGCTCAAGAGAAAGAGGCAGTTAATCAGACCCCATTAATTCCCTTAATTTAAATAATGCTGCAACTCACACAAAACAAATTACAGAAGTCTATTCATTATTGTCTATAGTAGGCCTCAAAAAAAAATTTTTTTTTCTCTTGGTTTGTTTTTTCCGTCGATCTTGTTTTCCGTGCTGAGCACCAATGCTACCGACGTGCCAGGAAGGCAGCTCCCACACCTGGACCCTACCTATCGATCCATCAACTCATGAACCGGGGACCAACGGCTTTACTTCCCATCCGAAGGAAGGCGTGATCAGAGATGTTATGCCTCAGAACATCCCGGTGGCGCCGACTGGGATTGAATCCAGGCCTGCTGGGTTGAGAGGTAATCACGCTTACACCTACACTACCGGCGCCGTTGCACACTGGGGCAGATCAGTGATTTTCTCGGAAAAAAATTATAACTTTTGAACAAAGCATCCAATCAGAATACTGTCTTCGGTAAAGTTGTTTGTATTAGTTAAGCGCTTCTTTTGAATAAATTAATTAGTTCGCAACTTGGTCGTAGAGATGGCGCGCGAATCTAACTTTTGAATAAAGCATCCTAGACGTATGGTGTTTTCAACAAAGTTTTTTATCTATTAAAATGAAGGAAAGTTGCAGAAGACATAAAACTTCCATAACCTTTAGTTTCGGAGATATAGGGTGTATTGAAAAATATGATGCCAAAATTCTTATTTGTAATTTTTTTGTATATTTTCATATGTTTGCTCTGGTTTCTGCATTTATTCCAACGAAAACAAACTAGGTGTGAATTTTCATTGAACTATTTGTGGAATTTATAGTGGTTTTAGTGAAATATTCTCGAAAAACATGATATTTTGCCTCTATTTTAGGTGGGTGGGATTCTCGAAAGGGCAGCTAAGGGCAGCTGGACTTTGTCTTTTTTGCTAGCTCATGTCATTGTCTAACATATACCAGAAAACTGAAGACATGATATTCGATGATTTTTTTAAATTTCACCTTTTGTAAACCGTTACAAGTATCTCTACTAATAAGGAAACCTGTCAGTTATGTATAATTTTTATTCGTTAAACTTTTTGAATTGCAGAAGCAGTAATGGTTTAAAGATTAAACTATCACTTAAGTTGAAGTATATAGAAATCAGTTTACTTACTCAAGCTCAATTTGCGTTTAGAGCTGTGGTTTAGTAAAAAATATACATATTTGATTATTCGATATATACATATCCTACGCAGGTGTGGAAGCTGCCTTCCTGCACATTCGATTGTCGGCAATGGATGGCAATCGATGTCCGTTGGTGATTGGCACTAGATTGCGGAACAGAGACCGACGTTAAATAAAGGAATACCCTGAAGCAACAAGATTGTACACAAACTTTATTATACTCATGCAGCCCGAGTGAATTCTAATACGGAGAACACTTTCTTGTGAATCATGAGGAAGATTCTAAGAGACTTCTATAAAGAATATAAAAAAACTTCAGGAAACAATCCAAGGAGACTTTTGAAAGGAGGCGGATTAAAATGATTAAAAAATTTCGAATCAAATTTTAAATAGGATTTCAACCGAATTTGGATAGATTACATAAGGGATAATGCTTTGTTTCTAGGCAAATGATAGGAAAATTCTGTGTTTGTAGCGGATGAAATGATGGTTGTAATGAGGCTTTAAAAAAGCATTTGTAGGGCGTTAAATTTTATAACGGTCATCCAAAAGTCTGTCATAAAACATGATTGTTTGTTTTAAGGAGGGATACAGAACCATCTTAAGGTGGTGTGTTGAGACATGTGGGGCTCTGTGGCCAAAGAACTACTGCTTGCTGAGCAGAAAATCATGGGGTTAATCTCAAGCCCCATTACATTCAAGATTCGCTTAGGCTTCTTTGTTAGCTTTCATTCTTAAGATGAACACATTTCTTTAATTTACAGTACCGTTTGTCCAATACCGTTTGTCCAACAGCCACACACTTTTTTTTTTTTATCTAATTGAAGGTTTTCAAAGCACAACCACTTCGAAAAGATTGCTCATTCAACTAAGATAAAACATTTTGTGTTAAATCAAGAACCTACTAATCGGTAATTTAAATAATGATAGACGGCGAAAAACACCCAGTAATGTTCTGAACCAAAATCATCACATTGTTTTCCCAATCATGTATATGCACAATGCCGCAATCCCCATCATAACGCCATTACATCTCCACCTTGCTTGAACGACGTGCTAAGTACGATAGCAGCTGCTCAAGACCAATCAGATTTGATACACCCATCATTATTGAATCCTTAATACGCTCATACTGGCTTCCCTTATAGCCACCTAATGGACCGTTATCCTGCTGTGCGACAATCATATCCTAGTAGGGTTTCAATGTGAGAAGTACGATAATGTTGATTGCCTCGATTCAACGATTCCACCGCGAAGGTATCTGCGCTCTAAATTTGCAAATTCAAAAAAGATTTCCCCTACCAAAGCCCAATATTTTCTCCCCTAAGGAGCATCATCACATCACGTTAAGCTTTCGACACGTCTTCCCCAACGATGCCAGACTCAGACTGCGTAAACCAACGTACTCGCAGGAATAAATCAGTGCAAACGTTTCGGGATAGGTCCTCACTTATTCGAACCCATCTGTGTTCTAGCAATGCTCCCTCACTATTCCCACACCATACTTATAGTCGCTATTGATCCCTGCCCGGCGATGCGTTCCGAGAACACGCGTTAAGCTCGTTACACTCGTTGCACGGAAAGGTTAGAGATTCAACTCACGTTACGTGGCATTTCGATATGCATACACACATCTCCAAACACCACATCTATGAGGGGGAAGTAGTAGAAAAAAAAAAATGGAGAAGGAAAACCCCAAAGTACCCCCACGCTCCACAATAGTAGGTACTACACAAGGTAGTTCGTCTGACGAACGATGGCAACAAGATCCGACCATCTGCTGCAGTGGAAGAAAAAATGAGTATCGTTAGGCACTTGACGGTGTGCTTAGGAAGAAAAATGACACGGGAAAGAAATCTGTTTCCGGTTTTCCGCACTTCTCCTGGGGTGGGAAATGACGCTATATATTGTGCGAGTCGATAATGACGGGAAAGGGAAATCACACGTACCTAACTTAGTTGGATTAGTTAAAAGATATGGTGGAACGTTTCCACGCTGAAAAGAGGAAGTTTCAAGATGGTGTTCACTCACGAGAATGCGCAAGTGATTGGTCTCATTTGATGGGTATTGTTCGGATGGATTGCTTCTGTAGAAGAAGATCTGCCAATTATTAGGGTCAGTAAAGGTTAACTGTTTACTGTTCGGGACATTGAACCTCTGCGACCAGTAATTTGATCTATTGTAGTATATGCCGTGTCCTTAGTATAGTGTATGTCGCATTACTCCGTCACTATTGAGAGCATGAGCATGAGCATGAGCATGATTGACCGCCCACGGTTGCTACTTTGTTATTGCCAGATCAGCTGTAATTACACAGAGAACCAATAGACGATGCTTGGGACTAGCAATCATCCTCAATGTGTAAAAACTGGTGATCTCAAATTAGGCAATACCAGCGCCAGCCGCGCCTGAACGCAGGTCAAGAAAGGAATGGGTAGGAATGTGTTGACGTGACACTCGCTTTGATGGAAGCCGAGAAATCCTCTGCACTTCCACGAGGAGTCACTGGGATTTTGGGTAAGAGGGTAGGGTTTGCAGCAAGGTTCGTTTTGGTAAACGATAAGCTGAATTGATGTTTAAACGATAGGGAGGGGTTACTGTATAAATAAATAAAAAGGAATGATCTCAGCCAAATAACCAAGTGGAGCTGCACCAAAAGCAACCGGCCAAATTCATATTATATTATAATAAAATAAAAAGTAAATAACAATGATAATCTATTTGACACACCTTCTGGTCCTTCAGGATCTACAGGACAAGTTTTTTCTAGAAATGAAAATTATAGTTATATAATGATAGTTATATAGTGATATAATGAGATTTTAAAAATGTGAAATAAAACTAATTTACTAGTCATGCAATATATAAAATAATGTTAAATAAACAAGTATTACAAAATACAAATAAGCTCGATTTCAGTTAACCTCAATACATTCAACTGATTTCAACTTCTGATATTTTATTATGCACCATGGAATTTCTTAACGCAATATGGAATGCTTTTTTTAAAATATTGGTAAACTTTCATAATGCATCAATAGTCAGAAAAATCAAGGTTATTTGGACAGTTAACAGTTTTTATGCAATTGTAATCATGCATTCCAATGTTTTTTGTATTTTCCTGAACGAAGGCTGAAAATAGTGAGTCATTATAATATTAATCTAAACATGTCGAAGAGCTGAAAATAAACTTAAAGATTTAAATCAATGCGTCCAGCCTAAACGGAGGGCTCGCGAACACAATAAGCTTCCTCATCACTCATATTCAGAATTTGATTAAATAAGTGTTTACAAATATACAAATAAATATATCAATAAGTTATGTAACTTTCTATCCTGGAAAGGAAAAATTAAATGGTTAATTTCACTGTCATATAAACGTTAAACATACATTAGAGGAAATCAAATGATGTTACGTTGCTTCTTCCAGTTGTGTTTTGACCCTGTTATAAATATTTATCAATGAATATTTAATAATAATATAATAGGACCTAGGATGTATTCAAACTCAAACTATATCAAGATGGAAATAAAATCATAGTGAATTATTCGTATACACCTAACCGTAAAAAGCCGACCGTGGTCATCACTCTGACAAATGAAACGATGAACGATGAACATACATAAATCTCGAATACTACCCCGAAGGGACGCATCCACTCCCGCAAACAATGCATCCCATCGCCAATCCGGCGCAACCAGCATCCCGCCCACGCATGCCAACACCACCATCAGATAGGAGAAATTTTCCCCTACCTGATGGCAGCGCCACAACGCGCGGGCGAGCCACCAACCACACCCCATTACTCCGTCACTATTGAGAAATGATGAAGTATTCGGTTTTGATACAGTTGTTATTCTTGCCTTCAAGGCAATAAAAGGTCCCACTATTTATACCCTTCGAAGAGTGAGAGCACCCTCAAAAAACTCGCCCTTTTGTCAGTCAAAATTGGATCCCTTAGCAATGACACCGATAATGACCATGCATCAGAACCCTAGTTTTAAGTACTTCTAACTAGGGAACAACGAATAGAAGATTACGAATCACATAGATGAAGACTAACTAACTCATGTTTTCCTTGTTTCAAAACCGAGTCTCATCACTATCAACAAGGCATAAAAAGTAACAACACAAGGACTATGATGTGTTCCTTTGATTACTGAAACATCCTGTTCCCCTAGTTTGAAGTATTCAGGACTAGGAATCGGTGGCAGATCTTACATCCCATAACGTACCACGAAAAGGTGATCTACCCACGATACGGGGCAAGGTTAACTGCTAAATGATAATTGTAACTTTCCAATCAAACTATCAATTTAAATCCGATTCAAAATAGCTGTTAGAATTTTTAAGGAGCGTCATAGCTGATACACCTCCTCTCCTATATATTTATTGGTATTGCTACTATTGATTCGATACCTTCAACTACGCTGTTTGTTTTCAATGGATCCACAGCCAAATGATATATTTTCAATGTGTTTGAATTGGTTTACTGCTTATTGTTTACATTTATTTATCAAGTCAAGTTATCCGCTAATCCCCTAGTAAATCTCAAGAACCTTCCCTGGCAACTGAATTCATCCACTGATAATCCTAACACTTGACAGTGAAGTATCCACCGTAAACTATAAATACTTATGTCCAACACCGATTCAGTCATCAGTTTCACTTCAACTGCAGCATTCAGCCAATCAACCATGAAGACCATCTTCGTTCTAGCCGCTCTGGTAGCGTTCGCTACCGCTTCGTCCATCCCGGACACCCGTGGACTGAAGGAAGACTTCCAGGATTTCGTTGACCTTGTTCCAGTGGAAAAATTCGCCGATCTGGCCATTCGCTACCTCACCACCGATAAGGAGTTCAAGGAATTCTTCACCTACCTGAAGGGAAAGGAGTTCTCCGCCGTTTGGGATCAGTTCTTCGCGCTGAAGGAAGTCAAGGATGTCCTGAACTACCTGGAAGATGCCCATCTGGATGTGTACGATGCGCTGAACTTTGTTGCCGATTTCCTCGGACTGCACCACGTCCAGCCGTCCGTCAAGAGTCGTAAGTAGTTTAGACTGTTTGCCCAATTTCCTACTTGAACACATTGGAATTGTTTCAGTGAAAGCCGGAGGATTGTGCGGATTTGTGGATGAGGCTCTGGCTTTGCTGCCCTTGGGCAAATTCCAGGCTCTGTTCGAAGAAAAGCTGAAGACCAGCCCCGAGTTCAAGGCATTCTTCGAGAAGCTGCATAACACAGATTTCCACAAATTTGTCGATTTCTACAACGTAAGAATGCAGCAGTTTCAAACAGTCAACTTGGGATATTTTAATCAAATTCTATTACTTACAGAACTCCAAGGAAGTTCAGTCGCTGTTCCAGAAGCTGCGCAACTACGGAGTTGATGTTGATTACTTCTTTGACCTTGTTGCTGGATTTTTCGGTTGGGGAAAGTTTTAGTGATGAGGCTGCTTTGTACGGGAAAAAATATTTAAATAAAGTGTGAAATTGAAAATTATCATTGATTTTAAATATGTTTTTTTTAGATATCTTGTTTTGGCATCATATCACAAGCCCTTATATTGATTCTGTTCCCGTACGTGAAAATAATATAATAAGAAAATAATATGTTCCGTACAGTTTCTGTTGCAAACTTTACTTTTGATGTACATTATCTTACGGAAATGGAAGTACGGATAGAGGCTAATTTTATCTGACTAGGAAAAAATTAATTGAATACCCTTATTTATCTACCTCTCAGTGACAATTGCCTTCCTCTTATAATATTAAATAGTATTGATATTTGCTTCATGTCGGATTCTGATAAAATATTCATGTCCGATTCTGATAACACTCAATATAAGATCACTGGGGCAACCAGCATGTAAAAAGGGCCAATGTCCCAAATGTCAATAATAACTTCAAATGACGATTTCTCATGGATTAAAAATTAAGCAGGCAAAGTACCAGCAGCATCTGGTTCACTTTATCGGATGGTGTACTTAATTTGGGTGAATTTGTGGGTTGTGAGATATTGGCGCTTGAAGTCATTGTTTATTTTTGTCTTAATACACAGCAAAAAATAAATTTTCATGTTACATCCAAGAGGATGCACTTCAATCATGTTGAAAATCTCATGTAATTTTTATGGCCATGTGGAAAATTACGCTACAAGGGGCAGGGAGAACAGAGTAGGTGCTTCATGAAACGTAAACAAACGTTAAATGTTTGTCTACGTTCGATGAAGCACCAATTATGGACCCCCCGCCCTTGAAGCGTATTTTTCTACATGACTGGTTACCTAAAACGCTACGTCATTTACCGTATGCGTGATAATGTTTGCATCATTGAGCAATGCCAAAATTTAAAAAAAAATCCCAAAAATTTCGTTTTCGAGTTTTTTTTTTATTTATTCAAAGGGGGATGTTTCTCAGAGTCTTAAACTATGTTAATCATCGATCGAGTTTCTAATTGCTGTAATTACGGCCTCCACACGCTTCCGGAATGCACGGCAGGTTCTAATAATGTAGTCTGGATCCATTTCTCTCCAGGTACGGGTCAATGTTTGTCTGAAGCTTGCTGTACTCGGGTGGCGTTTAGAACAGGCCTTGGCCTTCATGACGCGCCATATTGAGTAATCCAGCGGGTTAAGATCGGGGCTGGATGGCGGCCACATATCCTTCGCCCAGAACGAAAGATGTTCCTGAAATCACTTCTGAGTGCGGTTCGAGGCGTGGCACGGAGCCCCATTTTGTTGAAATACAACATTTGGCTTCGGACCGTACTGTTCTTTGATCCACGGAATGTAGACCTCCGTGTTGGCCTTGTCGCCTTCTGGAATGAACACCGGGACCATTTTTTTTGCCACCGGAAGCCAGCAATCCAAACACCATAACGCGAGCAGGATGCTTGGTCAGATACACGTTCTTGTGCTCGTCGGTCACGTCTTTTACCGGAAGAGAACTAATATAGCGGTCGGTTCTGGAATTTGATACGGGATCGACGGTGTAAACATGCTCTCGTCGGTGAACAGGATTACCGGATTTTTTCGCTTAAGGAAGTTCAAGATTTTCTTGCATCGTTCGACTCGTAGCTCCCGGATACGGTTGATAATCATGTGAGTTTTTTCCGTGCCTTCAACTTCGCCCCGCAATCTTCCTTTACGATCTTCCGTGCCGTAAAGTCACTAATCCCGTGTTCCTTTGCCATTTTCCTTATTGAACGCACTTCATTCACTTTCCTTTTGATAGCAGCGATAACCCTCGGAACCCGAGCTGACCTCGCACGACCTGTGGCCACCTTCGCGGATAGTTGTCCTTTCTTTTCTCGGTCTAAAACCCTTTTGACGGTCCACCGGGATACTCCCACGGCGATTGAAATGTCTTTTTGCGACATTTGCGCGTGGAACAAATCACGAATACGCTGCCACTTCGTCATGGTGCAACTGTCAAACTAAGTAAATCATTTTCTTTTATACACAGCCTACTACGGTATGAGCTTGCAAAGAAAACCAAGGCTTTGTATGCACAGGTGAAACGGGAACCTTATTTGTACGATGGTGCAAACATTATCACGCATACGGTATGTATCTTTCCTAAGGAAAAATTGTATTTCCCCTCAATGCTTTTAATTGATAACTCAAAAAGAACACCTAGTTGAGAGATGGTTTAAGTTCCTGTGGGAGAGCAAGAATCTTAGAAGATGTAAGGCACTTTAAAATTCATTCATCTGAACTTTTCGGCCCCATTATCGTTCCATCCCATGAAACAACCTCGGAAACAACCCAGACAACACCCGGCGTAGGATTCAGGAAGACAGTAACATTTATTTCCCACTTCCGGTTGACATTTCCTCCCGTATCAGCAAGACCAAAAGTCAGTTACAGAGAACAAGCAGCACTTGCTGCTGTGAGCAACTGCTGGACCATGGCAAAAAGGTACAACAATTTGCTGAAATGAGACTGTTCCATCGCAGGAAAAGGGTATCATTGTTTTGTGATTTTCACCAAAAAAAAATACCTCCGACTGGACCATCTGGTTGACACTTGGCCCGAGAGCATCGGTTGGGGACAATAATTTGAAATCATTTAAACCGTTTCATCCCTAACTTTGTGCTCGCCTCTTTCCCTTTCATCCCTGTTTCAAAGTTTTGAAAGTCATTTACACAAATCTATAGCAATGGGGAAGATAGCTGGGATACGTTCTGTCCGATCCGACCGAAAATGTAGTGGAAGTCGTAAATGCAATAAGTTGTTTGCGATAGATGAGAATTGCCTTTCCTGTGTGAGTGTCTAGTTTTGAGAGGACTGGAAACTGTGGATAAAAAGAAAACTGAAAAGTTTGCTCGTCCATGAAAAGTATCCTTCGTGAAAAAAGTGCTTGAAAAAAGGATCTGGAAACGGGCCATTGCAAAAAGGACATCCAATGTTGCACATATGGTGTTTTGGATCGTTCATATTTTTTTTTATTTTGAGTACTTTTGATAGAGTGAAACGAGTGTTTGAGTACAAACTATTGCTAAACAGTGAGAAAAGTGAGTGCAAAAAGCGTGACTGTTAATGTTAATGCCCACCGGTTTGGATTAAGCATTCCAAGTCTACCTAGAAGTTCCTATTCTACCTCATGGCCAGTTGACTACTAAATATCATCAGAATGTTACCCAACTGAAGAAAAAAGATCGATTCTCCACGGTATACAGTCACACTAAGTTCCCCTATCGTTGTGTTATTTCAGCAAAAAATATGTGAAATCAAACGACTAAACATCTGTTGAATAAGTGCTCCCCCTCCTTTCCCCAGCGACGAAAGGCCAGGCGAAAACCTAGTTAGACGGAATTGAAAAGCCTTGCTCGTTGCCAAGCTCACAAGTTTTCCGAAAGTCCTAAACCGAAGGAGAGGGAAACATATTTTGCGCAAACTTGACACAAAGTCATAAATGGAATAATCTGTTTGCGATAAATTTGTCCCTGCATCTTCTTCTGGTTCGGTGCTCGCTGCTGGGTTTTCGTCAGATCGGGTGGGAGCAGAAAGTTGACCTTTTGGAAAAAAACTTTTTCCCGTACCACATGGAAAACAACGACTTCTACTTCGATTCCAATAAAAGATCGGAAGGGGATTATCCGGAAAATGCAAAATTCAAAATGAACTGCCCAGGCCGCAAATGCCTATGAATAACGGATGGGAATTGTTGCTAAATGCCTAGTTGGATATTGAATTCAATGGAATCCTCCCGCCTCCCAGTACCTTGATTTCGATTCAAATTGATCCGAATTCGGTTCTACATGGGTAAGCATTATCCTGAAATAGATATGGGTACGGTTTATAAGAGGTAATCCTACTATGTCACACGCACCGGGCGTAGGAAGGTAAACGCCATGAATAGCACATGTTCCCTTCTTTTGATTTTGCTTGACTTTCAACTTCCTTTGTTTGACTAATGCGATGAGCACAGGAACGGTTAGCTTCGCGTTTTTTGGTGTTATCGTGCTCGGATGTGAGCAGCTTCAGTTAATTTAGCATACGTTAATGGTGCGGAAAATCCGATGACATTGGTGGCTTTTTCTTTGTGATGCATGGTTTCGTGTGAATCCATTTATGATAGGATTCGTATGTTTTTAGATTTACTAACGCCTCGTTTTTCTCTCTCATTACGGCAAGAAGTTTATGACTAGAATAAATAAAAAATGAGTCACAGTTTTTGAAAATTGAGCTAATTTTGATAAGTTAACTGACATTTCTAGAACCGAGTTTCCATTGTTTTTCTTTATAACGATTGTTGAAATTGGCGTTCATTTGTTCTTCTCTGTTCATTTATATGAGTAATACTGGAGAGTTCAGTACCTTAAGAAGCGTTCATTAATTATTTCATGCTAAATTATCCCAAACCTAAGCCCCCCCTCTTCCCACACTGTCAAACATTGTCTCAATTTATCAACCACCCCCTTGAAAATTTCATCACGTTATCACACAATCTTACCATACCCCCACTCTTAATTAGTTCGAAGTTTGCTTGGCAATGGATTTTAAAGATTGTTAAACAAAATATGATTTATATTTATTTTACAATAATTTCATGAAAAAGTGGTTTGAATTCGTGATAAAAATCCAGGAAAAGTCTAAAAAAATATAGGCCGAAAAAAAAAAATCAGGAAAAGTGTAGCGAAACTTCTAGTGAAAGTCAGCAAACACTTTCGGGGCAAGTCAGAAGAACTTCTGGGGAACTTGGATAGTGCTTCCAGGAGAGATCGTGAGAATCCTCCGGTGGAAGTCAGAAGTTCCTTGCAAGAGAAGTTGTAAAAATAATCTTAATAAACTGTACGTGTACTGTGTAACACCAACACAGCCAGTTCTTGAAAGCATCCTGGAAAATGATATCATTCACATCATTTTTCTTGTCTATTTGATATTTGTTTCACATCGAAGATGCTTCACACATATCAAAACGGCCAGGCCTACTTTGCAGCATTTAAGGGGCAAGATGATTCA